TGTATTTCGTTGTACAATCGTGATCCAACCATTTCGTACTGGTAAAATACCGTTTTAGATATATTAATTTTTTTTTTGTTAAGAAACCATATAGATAAAATCAGAGTACCATTTCGAAGAATATCGGAATAAAACCACAATATTCCGGAATAATAGCTGAATATTATCCTAAACAAGATTGTGAAGCAAAGGAGTTTGTTGAGACAAAGAAAAGTTTCTCGAGGAGCAAAGAAAAGTTTGTTGAGAATATTATCCTAAACGAGATAATGAAATTTTTGTTAATTAAAGTAAAAGATTCCATATCAAGTATTATCTCGGCGCATGGATTAGGATCAATATCAATCAAAGGTATTTTACTATTTTGGGAGTTTTATATTGACATATAATAATGAAATAAATACAAAAAATGGAGAATCGTTCAACTTCGACCCCACCTTATAAAACCTTGGTAGCCGCCTCACTTTTCCCTCTTTCCTCGTTCTTTCGCCATTTCCAACATCTTCTTGCTAACGGATTTGCTTAGATCTTCTCAACTTCATCCCAGAGATCGTCCAGATTATGATTTTACGTAGCTCTTACAACTTTTTTTTCTCTACTCTTGCTCTGTTTTCCACGGCCGCCATCTGTCAACGAGACCCCAAAACTTCCCATGATCTGGATCTGATGCAGCCTTCACCATCCATGATCTCTTCTTCTCTAAATTCTCCTCTCGCCAAAGTTCAAATCAAATAGAAAAAGGATAAGGAGTCTGGCCTCTGTAGTGACAAGTGCGACGACAGATTGATGGAAGACAATAGGCGAATTTTTTTGTTATCATTAGCGAAACCGATAGTTGGATCAGAACCTGGCGGTATTTTGCGAAATGTCGATTCGACATCAAATATTGGCCGGTACGCCAAAATTCCCGGTTTGCATGTGCGATTCCGGACCTGGTTCGCTTTCTAGTATTTCTAGTCCGACCGGTTGCTCTAGTACGGAATTTTGATCTATGGTATTTTCAAATAGCTTTTTGCAGAAGTTTCAAATCGGAACTTCTGCTTTTTTGTCAAACAAAAGCACTTTTAAACTTTTCAAAAGCCGAGCTTTTAAAAGTGTTTGACTTTGTTTCAGTTTTTAAAGAAGGAAAAACATATCTAAATGTCAGACCATACATAGGCAGTCTTTTATCGATAATTATGTGAAATATCGGTTAATTTAGCTTAACTATTGTATTTCATTTCGCTTCAAAACCATCAGACGATAATTAAGAATTCATATATAGAAAGTTTAGACAGTATTGCGCACATAGATTGAGCACTAGTTAGTTACTCTCATCTTCTAGATGTTAATGTGCACATCACATTATCATTGATCAAGATGTGAACAAATGCAATGAATATATCAGTTTAACTGTTAAATAAACGCTTGACTATTCCTTGTTTGATCAGTATGTGTAGGAACCCTAATGTGCATGGTTGTTTGATTAACCTTAGCTACTTAGCACCAGGTGGCTGTAACTCTTGCGGGCACTAACTCACAAACCATTAGTCACTGGCATTTTGCCCCCATTCGATTTCTAAGAACCCATTTTTTTACATCAAACATCATTCATTTCATTCCAAATCCAAACAAGTGAGAAGAGATACAATTACAATAATGGAGCAACAAGGTCGGCAATGACAATCCATTCCGGAGAAAGGAGAGCAAGTCGAGCGTTCCTCATGATCCAATCAGCCAACACATTGAATCGACGGGAACAAACTCAATCGAGATCCAAGGAGAAATGCACAAAATGGAAACCACACGGGCAAGGGTTGCCCGACACTGCCAGGGCTAAAGGCTCGGATCCTACCTCAACGCAATCGTCAACCTCTCACAGTCGAACCTGATACACATTGGAACTGGATCCTAGGCCGCCAAGATAACTGCATTAAGAATTGCAACAACTTCTGCTTGAATCGAAGAAGAACAGAAGATCTCTTAGCCCTTTCATCGAGAACCTGACCGTGGGAGTTAGCAATAGCAACCCCATAAGCCACCACCTGTGCATCAGAAACAAAGGAACCATTGCAGTGCATAATCTTGCTAAAAGGATCAGGCGGTGATAAGGTCGACGACCGAGAACCCCCAGGCTGAGAAGGCAAACCAGCTGATGTAGAAGATGTGGAGACTAAGGACGAGATCCTAGCTTCCAGAACGTTTCGCACGTCACGATCAGCTAAAATTGCCACAACTGCCGGGGAGAACACCCTTCCATCAAGATCATACCATTTCGAGCAATCCGGATATTCCAAAGAGAACACACAATCTTGGTGACCAGGTCAGCTGTCAATCGATCTCTAAGATTGAAAAACCAACCCGCAAAGCTTGAGTCAGTCACAGGGAGAAAATTCAATAAGCCAATCCTAGTCCAAGTGTCATATGCCTTAGAGCAAAAGAACAAGCAGTGGAAGATCGTCTCGTCATGATCCTCACAATGCGGGCACGAAGGATTAGGATCACACTTGCATTCAAATAACCTAGCTCGTGTTCAATTGCATTTTTAGCACACTTCCAAATTAAAAACCGAAGCTTTGGGTGCAATTTTAGATCCCACAACCATTTCTAATTGTTCCTGTTTGTTCCAGAAGAAGTATCCACATCAGTCTGAGATGAAGAATCTTGACTCTCCCGAAACATGCGGTAGAGATGAAGAATCTCGACTCTCCCGAAACATGCGGTATATATACCGCATGTTTCGGGAGAGTCGAGATTCTTCATCTCAGACTGCTATGTTTCTTTTCATTTACTTATATTTGTTCATATAATTAACTTGGATGAGGTTGATTTCTATTGCATCTTTGACCTTATAAAATGTATAAAAATTTCCTTCATAAAATGCATAAAAAGACAAATAGGAAAATAAAATATGAGTTTGGAAGGATAGACATGTGCAGACCCTTTGGTTCGATAGCCACAAAACCGACATTTGAATTTGAACGTATATAAAGCAGTTTAGTTCTCTGTCTCGTGAATTTTTTTTAAAATTTTGTTTATCGTAGTACTGCGGTTATCATGATTTGGTGAGGGGGATTAGACTGTGTGATACGCCTAACTGGATGTCCTTCCGTTAGCCAAACGATGTTATAGTTTTTATTTTTTTTTCAAACCAATTCATCCCAATAACTCGATAATGAGAGGAATTAAATACAATAATCAATCTCTCTCATTTTTTATAAACTCAATCAAAAGAAAGTAAACTCATTACTATAATTAAGCATGTGGTTTGTACAAGTCTTTTATACATTGTACATAATTACACTTATCAACAATGAATAAATGAACTTGTCAGAATTCAAACACATATTCATGCTGATAAATCCAGTTGTTAAGGGGAAGATCCAAGTTGAACTTACCTGAAAAATATTTCAAATATAACTTCCATTATCCTCCACCAAAACTTAACAGAGACATTCATTTAATAAAAAGGAAAAATAGGTGGTGGGCCGGCGGGGGCGCCCTTTGCAAGGACAAATTGGAAGATCAGTATTTCATCTTCAAGCCATGGCACTATAATGGTTTGAATATTTGCATATATCTCTTTAATTAATTGGGTCAGACTGGTGTGCGTCAGGCGTATACTATACGTCAGGTACTACTAGTGAGATATCTCTATCTAGACCATGAATTAAATCGAGTTTGGGTTATGATACTATACCCTAACCTCTAATGGATAAACCCCAGGCACCGATTTTCTAAACCCTAAACCGAAGTTTGATTTAATGAAAAACAAAAATTGACCGTTGAGATCGGCCGGAGCTCATCTAACCACATCTAACAGCTAGATCACCTGACGTATAGTATACGTCTGACGTACACCAGTCATCGCCTTAATTATATATATATATATATATATATATATATATATATTAAAGTTTATAGAACAATTAAAAAGAGCAAGATAGCTATTATTCAAACTATGGCATACATGGAGTGATGGAGACTGGAGAGGCATCAATTTCATAGTAATAAAAACAAATCAAATTACTCATCTAGCTATTCTCTTTCCTTCCCTTATATTTAGAGGAAATTGGTATTCTTTTTCTTCTTTAGTTTCATAAAGACGGTCAAACAAGAATAGACTATGTAAAAAATAATGTATAATATTGTATTTAATATTTGTACCCGATGACTATGCAAGCTATGTCTTATGTGATCCTGTTTTAATATTTCTAACTAAGAAGCTTTTGATTAGTTTGTTTAAAAATACTAGAGGGATTAATTATGGGGATTACATAAGCCATTATGTCACCTTAATTAAACATTTCATGAGCGCATGCATGCATGTGCATGTGGCAGTTGATTGCCTAATTTAAGAATCCCATATATATTTGAACCGTTTGCATGCAATTGCTTCTATTTGTAGTTTAGAGAGCAATTAATAGTGATCATATAATTACATCGATCTACTTCTATCGTGTGTAGACTGACTAATTAATTAGTGATAAATATATTTCCATAACGATTTCCATTCAAATACTCTTTATGCCCAAGTTAACCCAACCCCAAATCGAAAGGTAGACCTACCTGTATTTTATTTGCAATATATGAGCTAATTGCATCGGTTGTCACTTAATTTTATTATTTGTTGCACGGTGATCTAATTAAGTATGTTCTGTTGCAAGCAAACCATTTATGTATAATAAAAGTCGCAACGTCGTCATTGTTGTTCCTAGAGCTAACGATGGGTACACGAAGGTAAATTTTCATGCCAGGTATACTTGTCACATTAGCTGCAGTACTCTGAGCCATATTTACTACAAAAATTGGGAAGAAGATCTGTAACACAAACGAACTATACGTGTCGTCTACGACACCAAAGGTTAAGGAGGTAGTATAAAGAGAGAGGAGCGTAGGCTATTCATTTTACACGGCTTGCTTTTAGCCATCGCACCCACAACCGTCTCTCTAAAATCCAAAACTTATAATTAACTCCAACTTCACAATACAAACCAGCGGTAGGACCTACCGCCTGATCATCGATGGAGATGAACTATACGATGTCGCTTTTCCCGGCTTTCATCTCCTCCTCATCGGCAGCGCACTCGGCGGAAGACTACGACCACCACCAACTCGCGTTGACTGCCGACGGCGGAGGAGGAGGAGGAGGACTGATGATGGTTCAGTCTGATCGGACAACGGCGGAGGAGGATCAGGCTCCACGTGGATGCTCCAATCTGGATGATCATCAGGTTGGTGCTAGCGGGGCAGAGAGGAAGGAAATGGCCGGGGTTGTGAAGAAGAAGAAGAAGGGAGTACTCGTTAATAAGAAGAAGACGAAGAAGTCCAAGTACGCGTTTCAGACGAGGAGCCACGTGGATATACTCGACGACGGGTATCGTTGGAGGAAGTACGGCCAGAAAGCGGTCAAGAACAACAAGTTCCCCAGGTCTGCAACTGCATATATAATGACATCTTCATTTATTATAAGTTTTGCAACGTTTTTTAAGTGCATGCCCTCTCCGTTTAATCTCATATCAAATGCTCGATGATCTGATTCCGCAAATTACTAGTAAGTAAGTAGTTGATCATCAGTTCACGAGTAAAAGTTCTGCCTAGTGTAGTTTAGCTAGTTAGAGATGGGATTTGAATTAATTAACCAAACAGGTATTAATTAGTGGGTGGCGGCGGCTCGAATGAATAAATGTGTTGCCTGGTGCTTTGAGACCTAACCCACACACGTGTGGAATCTGTCTATGCGGGCGGGCCGTGTGCTGAAAAGTCATTCTCTTTTTTCTCCAAAGCCCTGAAACCAGATCTGATCCAAATTGACGGAAAGTCGCTTCTAGTTTTAAGTTTTCTAAAGCTAGCCCTAGCTAATCCAGAAACGCTAACGTGTGGAAATGATGAGTTCATTATTATTGTTACAATCAATATAATATATATGCATGGTTGGCTGTGGAAAATTGACTCATAAATACGATTATATATCCTTCCACCAAATTGCACGCTCCTTCATCAACGGTCAAAACTGTGAGCTCAAAACAATATTATTATTTTATTATTTGTATAAAGGTCTTTTTTTATATATAAATGTAAAATATTGAAATGAAATTATATATTTTTCATATATTGTATATATCTGCCGCTAGCACAAATGTTTTGAACCGTACTATATATGACATGTCATGCATTGAAATCGCAAGCAGGTACTGGCGGCTCTCGTCTTGTTCTTGTCATCCAGTGGTGGAGCTAGGTTGAAGTTAGAAGAGTTGTAGTCCCATTAATTTCAAAATATAAGTAAAATTACATATAAGTTATGTCCAAATTTAAAAATTAGAATAGTCAGTACAGTTTTATTATATCTCTCCCAATTACAACCATTCAAATCATCCCCTTGCTTGCATTTTTGGCTCCACCACTGCTGCCTCCAACCTTTCATAGATCGATCATTGAGTTCTCAAAATTTATATCAACAAATACAAAATGTGTAAACACGACTTAAACATAATTAGAAATTCTCGGCAATCAACAATCAACATGCACCTTATTAATATATGATGTACTAAGGTGCTTAGTACAACGAGACTATAACATTAAATGTGCAAACAAACGCACGTATGAATGAGGCATGCATTGCATGACATGCAAGTATTAAACATTATTAATATACAATCAACGTTGTCTTAATTTGCTAATATATATTGTGTGCATGGTGCTACAGAAGCTACTACAAGTGCACGTACGGAGAGTGCAACGTGAAGAAACAAGTGCAACGGTTGACGAACGATGAAGGCGTAGTAGTGACAACCTACGAAGGAATGCACTCCCACCCAATTTCCAAGCACATGGACAACTTTGAGCACATCTTGAATCAGATGCATCTCTTTACCGCTTCCGTTTAAATTTGAATTCTTATATATTACTCACTCCAAATATCAAATTTCAAATGTCTTTGTACATTAATCAATATCTTTCTTTACATGCAAGTCTCTTTGTTCCCCTCTTAAGTTCGATTCCCATGTTGCTGGGACTTTTTCTCTTCATAATTTTGGATTGCTATGCCTTAGCCATTGGTAGGTTTGAAAGCTCAAATGAAAAGCAAACTGGCCAAATTTATTTGAATGAATGAAATGACAATAAATACACGACTATAGCCACAAGATCCAGCCTGTACACACTACTCTAACTCCACTTCCCTAAGATACAGCAACCACTAACAACTAATAAGCTAACGTGATGCAAGTCTTGACCCAACTAACCCACAGAAACAATGGACTGTTTTGGCGCAAAATAGAATTAAAAAACCATAAATACAATTAACCAAATGACCCAACTTTGGCTTGATTGCTAACACAACAAATGGCAACATCAACGATCTTGTGACTCTTATCTGCAAATTTGTTTTAATTTAATCAAATTTTCCATACTTGTCAAATAACTCCACAAAAATTGTCCAGCTTCAGTGCCTTTTTCACAATGTAGGTTATCTTATCACAAGGGCCAACCACTTCCCCTTTGATGATGGAAACTAAGATTAGTGTGTTCCTTTCTTGCACTATTGAATTCTTGGACAACTCAATGATCAACAAGTTGTCACACATAATCTTGATTCCTTGTGATATATAATGGGCGGTAACCACAAGTTCAACTTCAGTTATGATGTCGTTAGCCTCTGACAGCTCCTTGCAAGCTCCAAATATAACCACTCTTGATTCTTGATAGTTTATGCGTCTTCTACTATCCATATCATCAACATAATATTCAATATCACAACATTCAAAGTGGATTGTTAGAACCTCCCTTGTGTATATGCTGCTAGAACGAAGAGCGTCATTTAAGTACCACAAACTTCCAAACACTTGCTTGTACCAAGTATCCATATACACTATATCTCTAGTTGCTGTAAACTTGGTTCCATAGACCATGGAAGACAACAAAATATATTCCACTCCTGTCATCAAGTCAAAATCTGCTGCATCATCTTTATAGTTGATAAATCCAGCTGCCAAAGTGATAAAAACAGTCACAAAGCTAGCTATAAAGCTAGTTGTGAACATGAGTTGAGCAATAACCAAATTGGTAATTAGATACTTCACCAAACTAGCTGCAATTAGCCACTTCTGAACTCTAGAGATTTGTAGAAAACCAGCTGGTAAAATTACTGCAAATATGATCCAATATGTTGTAAAAACATATACAAAGCTAAGTAACCTTGTTGCAAAATCAGCTACAATAGGTTCACCAAATATATCTTTATATTTAGTTGCCTTAACCCGGACCCTCTCTTTAAACTTGGTGTAGATTGCTTAAATCCACTCAGTAAGCTCCTTTATCTTCACTGCATGATTCTTCGATCATTGTCCTCCCCAACTTCATGTATATTTATATAGCCAAATTTCTTTTACATTCGTGGTCCCAATTTCTCAATAATTTCATACTTGTTTTCTTAAAATTCAACATCGTCAACCCTTGTGTATGGATTGGAAACTCTTAGAACAACCTTAATTCCCTGCTGGTGGCTAAATATATCCTCCTGGAGTTTAAACTTCATAACATGTTTCTCACCACTACTACTAACCAGCTTCTCACCATTGTTGTCATACATTGCAACATTCATACTCAATCACAACAAATCTGGCTCTAGTTCCGTTAGAGTCATAATCTCTCCCCTACAATCACAAGCTCCCGTGGTTGCATCACATAAGGTGCTTTTGTCACCATCTATGAAAACAAAACTGAACCAATCATGAGGAGCATATAAGACTTGCAAGCTTCTAATGGAGTACATATCTGATGATTCATTAGTTGATAACACAAAAACCTCGAACTAGGGCATTTGATTTCGACTCAACTCCCACGAAGCAAGAGTTGAGGTGACTTGACAACGAAAACAGAGGAAAGAAGGGGACGGCTTAGATCTTGCAACTTCTCGCCAAGAATTGGGAAGAGGCTCGATCGATTGAGGTTGCAACTCGTCCACAATTGAAGTGGCTACTGAACTAATGCATAGCTCGCTTGATCGAAGGATTCAATCCAATCAAACTAAGGAAAAAATTCACGAGATAAACTCAATGAACAAACGTGTTCTTTTCATAAAACTTGGATCGATTACAATGCAAATGAGAACTTAAATAGACTCTAGCTAGGGTATTAAACAAGGTAAGAAGTCCTAAACCTAATACAACTCGAATAGAAACCCAAACAAACATGGAAAGAACCCAAAGCACAAAATAGTCTAGAAATCCTAATCCTACAAGGATTCGGATTTGTCCTTCTTTCAAAGTCAGAAAACACAGCTCGACTCAATCTTTGGACTCTTCGTTCGAGCTCTTCCAGGAACCAAACCATTCAACCAATCCCTTGTCTTTGTATTACGAAACCTGTACTTTGATGTGGAACAACTCGTTTGACTTGAATCACAACCTTCTTTTGTGAATCGAGCTCCAAAGCAAGCTTCTTGAACACAGATCCTGCCTTAGTCAATTTCAGGCAGTTTTCAGGTTTCCAGATGGCAACTTTGAACGTCTGGAAAATTATCTTAATGGCTTCTTCTGGATCCAAAAATCATACTATTTTGGTCAGGAAAACTTTATCTGCACAGCAAACTCGTAGCCTCCCATTTTCAGTGAGCCATTCATGCGAACCAATTCTCCAAAGTAGGTTACCTGAAACAAGGAAAATACTTGGCCAAAATTTAGGTTTTCTTTCATCGATTGAAGAAAGTTGCTCCTGTTTCAATCCATTGAAGCTTGTAAGGAGGTCCAATTGAGATCATATCATTAGTTATGGAATCCAAAGATGTTGGAGAGGAAAGCCCTAACATATTTGTTTCCTTCAATTCGTCTTCCTCTTCTTAAATCTGAATTGCAGCATATGAACTCACAGCAGTTGCACTAAATGTTTCTATTACTGCAAGTAAAGTATCCTTATTTGTCTCAACATCACCAACCTCCCTTTCATGGATCACTACTACAGATCTCATAGTTTGCATACATTGAAATTCAGGTTCTGCCAAACTATCTGCAGAATCAGCATGTAGTACAAACATATTATTTGTCTTCCTTCTAATGCAAAACAAGAAGCCCTTTTCATCATGATATACTTTACAAACGCCATGAATAATAAGGAAACTTAATCCCTTATCCTGCATCTTTCCAATACTCAACAAATTTGTTCTTAGTCCCGGGACATAGAATGCATCATCAATAACTATGGATTTGTGTTCAATTTGCATTATAATGGTTCCCCTACCAGCCACCTGCAACTCAACCCCATTCCCTAATCTCACAGTGCAACAGAAAGAGTGATCAACGCTAGAGAACCAGCTCTTGTTACCTGTCATGTGATGGTTGCAACCTGAATCTCCCTCCGTGGTGACCGCCAGTAGGTCCCTCATGACAGTGAGATAGAATGCCCTCCATCTCACTCTCCCTAACACAACGACGGATGATCCCGTCGGCTCCGATCCGAAAAAGATGAGGGTCATCCCAGAAGTAATGCTTCAGATCGGAGAAAAACTTCCTCTTGGTGTGAGTTGTCATCCCCTTGGGCAGCTGCTGGCCCACCAAATAGTTCGCAAAATCAGAATACCAGGGGGTGACACTCTCCACCAGGCACATCATCATCAATCTCTCATCTGGGAAGGAGTCGTTGATCTCCTCCACGAGGTTGTCCGCAGGAAGTGCGTCCAACCGGGAGAGGTGATCAGCTGCTACATTCCCCGCTCCCTTCTTGTCCCGAATCTCAATATCAAACTCCTTCAATAATAAGATCCATCGTATGAGCCTAGGCTTGGCATCGGCCTTGCTCATCAGGTATCGAATCGCGGAGTGATCTGTATACACGGTCACATGGGACAAGACCAGATAGGGACGAAATTTGTCGAAGGCAAACACCACTGCGAGCAGCTCCTTCTCTGTGGTGGTGTAGTTCTCCTGGGCATCATTGAGGGTCTTCGAGGCGTAGTAGATAGGTCGGAAGTGTTGATCTCTCCTCTGCCCCAAAACAGCTCCAAAGTCACTGGCGTCGCACATCAGCTCAAATGGTAGGGACCAGTCAGGAACAACCATGATTGGAGCTTGGGTAAGCTTCTCCTTCAAGGTTGTAAAAGCCGCTGTGCAAGCATCAGTGAACTGGAAGGGGGCATCCTTCTCTAGAAGCTTAGTCAGGGGCAGGGCGATCTTCGAGAAATCCTTGATGAACCGCCTGTAGAACCCTGCATGGCCTAAAAAACTCCAGATCCCCTTAACAGATGTAGGAGGAGGCAGCTTGCTGATAGTCTCGATCTTTGCTCTGTCCACCTCAATCCCCATCTTGGAGATCTTATGCCCAAGAACTATGCCTTCTCGAACCATGAAGTGACACTTCTCCCAACTCAGTGCCAGGTTCGTTTCTTCACACCGTTTAAGAACAAGTTCCATGTTATGGAGACAGTGAGAGAATGAGTATCCATAAACCGATAAATCGTCCATAAACACCTCCATAATCTCGCCGACCAGACGGTCAAAGATGGCGAGCATGCATCGCTGAAAAGTGGCCGGGGCATTGCATAGCCCGAATGGAATCCTCTGGTAGGCAAATGTGCCGAAGGGGCAGGTGAAAGTGGTCTTCGCCTGGTCCTCCGGTGCAATAGGGATCTGAAAGTACCCGGACATCCCATCCAAGAAACAGTAGAACTCGTGCCCCGCCAATCTCTCCAGCATCTGATCAATGAACGGCAGCGGGAAATGGTCCTTCCGAGTGGCGTCGTTGAGACGCCGATAGTCGATGCAAACACGGTACCCAGTCACCGTGCGCATCGGGATGAGCTCGTTCTTCTCGTTAGGCACCACGGTCATCCCACCCTTTTTGGGTACCACCTGGGTGGGACTGACCCACTCGCTGTCAGAAATGGCGAAGATGA